CTATTTTAAGTAAGATATTGGTAGAAAGTGATGTGAGTTTATTGGTAGATATAGCAAGCTTTGTTTCTATAAAAAAAGCAATATTGATTTCATTTAAGTTGCAGTATTCGAGAATAAGTTGTAGTTTTAGAGCTTGGTTAAGATCCTGTATATTATGATTTAAAATATATAAACTAGTCATAGTATGAGTATTTGAATTAGATATTGGGTTGAATATTTGGTTAGTTGGTAGAGAACTCTGTAATAGATAGTTATAGTTATTCATTGTTGAGATTAGTAGATATAGCAATAGTAAGAGTTTTGACTAAGTTTGTCTTAGAGTAGGGATTGGTAGAGATGTAGTTGTTAAAGATTTGCCATTTGGGCTCTGGTAGGTTGGAAAGGCTAAGCAAATATTCAGGTATTGAGTTAAAGAAAAAATATGATTTTAGTTTAGTAATGATATCTGAGACTACTAGTTTATTAATGATAGATATGAGCTATGCAAGGCTTGGATTAATATATTGTAGTTGTTGTATTAATTCCTCTATATAGTTTGGTAGTTGTAAGTGGAAATCAGTGTTAAGTTTTGATAAAATTTTAATTTAGCTAGATAGTATTTTAGCAAAGAAGTAGTAATTTTGAAGTTTACAGGATAGATTAACAAGCTGTTTTGCTAATATAATAGGAGTTGTGATATTTATTTGAATAATTTGGGTGGGTTGTCTGGGAGGTTGGGTTTGTTTGTTAGATTAATCTTCATGTATTAAGCTAGAAGGGGAAGAATAAATTTATAAAAATCACCTATTTCTGCCAGGAAGTTTTTTGCTATTTCATAGTCCTTAGTAGAGAAGGTGTAGTTGACTTTGATTTTAATTAAGGTTGGCTTGGCTAGTAGTTTAGATTTTTGTGCAATATAGTTATTAAACAAATATTTAAAGCCATAGTGGAGTCAGAGAAGGTCTGAAAAATATTTAATATTATGTTGGTTATTGGGTTTACATAAAAAGATCTCTTCCAAGTTGTTTAAAAATTGTTATAAGAACATTGGAAGAGGTGGTTTGGGTGCCAGTAAGTTGAAATAGATAGGTAAGATTTCTTAATCTCATAAATTGTTGTAAGTTTTCTATAATAATAAGATAGATAAGGGAGAGCAGATCAATTTGTAATTGGGAATAGGTTATGGACAGTAAAGTGTAAGTCTGCTAGATCATCTGGGAGTAGTATGAGTTGTTCTTCAAAATAGCTATTTGGTAGTTCCTCAAATTTGTACACTTTACGCAAAGTAGCCACAATGCCTTTAGTTTGTTTATAGTTACTAATTGGTAGTGTAAAAAATAAAATGGTCTGGATACCTTAAAGAATTTCTAATAGCAACTCAGGAAGTGGGATAAGTATCTTAGATAATACTAAATAGATTAATCAATAGATGTTTTCAAAGGCTATTGGTAAGTTAATATATGCAAAGTTGATACAGTAGTAGATTTTATGAGTAATATCATGTGAATTTGTCTTTGCAAAATTGATGTTAATGATATAATTAATAGCTAGCTTCATCTTAAGTTTGTTTTGTATTTGATTGTGGTTGTGTTTATTTATAAATCATGTTATATATTGGTGTTTATATTTTTTGAGAGCCATATTAAAGAGTGAGTCATATTTATTCTGATATAGTAATATAGTTAATTTATTCTGAGTAAATGATTTAAAGAAAGTGGTTTTAAGATAGTTAAATTTAGTATTGATTGTAGTTGGTATATTAAAACAGGTAGGTTGAGATATAAATTTGTATTTTAGGAATTCTACTAGACTAGTTTCATCTTTGAGTACTTTAGTAATTGTGTTTATATTTTATATTTAGGTGTCGAATACTTGGTGTCTATTAGCAATAGTATATGCTACAGAATGGCTTTATAAGAAAGAAGAGTTGACAAGTAGGTCCTTTAGATCTGTAGTATTGTAGCATAGTGCCTGGCTATATAACTTAAAAGTTGAATGAGTGACCAAGTTAGAGTCTGGTGTTTTCTGAGTGGCCCTGAAGTACTGGCTTTAGATATTTTCTATATTATTTTCATAGTCTATAAGGACTAAGATACTGTGTTCAGAGCCAATGCTTGGTTTGGTGTATTGTTTTCTAATATAGGTATGTTTTAATTTAGGTATGAAAAAATTTTTATGGAAGTTGTAGTACCTGGATTGATGTCTGTTAAGTTTGGGTTTGTTGTTGTATACTCATAGAAAAATGATATTATGTAATTATTGTTTGGTCCAGTGTAATCTGCAAGTAGGAGTAAGCTGTTTTGCCTACTTTTTTCTCTAAGATAGGGATTGTAGCAAGTAGGGTGGCAAGGTTTAGAGCTATTGTCAGTTTTTTTTGAGGCAGGTGTAGTTGTAAGGGCAGTAATAGGATGATTTTCTGGGTTAAGTATTGGTTCATTGGTTGATAAGATGCCGAAGAGTGATTCAGACACAAACTAGAGAATAGACTTTCATTGAGCTATAGTATTAGGAGACTTCTGTAAAAGTTGCTCAAAGGTGACAGGAAGATCATAAATAATATGAGTTGTGTTTTGCTTATCTATAGTATATATAGATACTAGTTCACTGAGCTAAAGTAGCAAGAGTGATAGTATACTAAGTTTTCTTTATAATTAATTTGTAGACAATACTCAAATTTGCTTGTTTTTTGTTTTTTTTTTTACTATGATTTACAGATTTATGGGAAAGAGTACCATAGTATATATCAAAAAATTTTTTATATTTTTTATAACTATTAATAAATTTAGTACTTGTAAAAAAACAAAGCTTATCTCTTTGTGTATTAAGTATTTGCAGACAAATTTGCCTGCAAAAAATTCTATAATATAAAAATACTTTTTTAGATTTTATATTTTATTTTAAATTATAAATTATAAAAATCAATTATATTTTAAATATATTTAAAATTGTTACTATAAAATAAAACAAATTAATTAAATTTATAAATTTTTAAATTTTTTTAAATATATATATATATAGTCCTTTAATATTATTAAAAATTTTAATTTTAAGCTTTAATTAATATAAAAAAAATATTAAATTTATTAAAATAAGATTGAACCTATTTTATAAATATTTACTTGTAACTTTTTAAAAAATTACTAATTATTTTATAATAAAACTTAATAAAAGGTTTTAATAAATTTCTTAAGAGGTAGTTATTAAAATCGATTAAAATTTTTATTATAAATAAAAAATTTCTTTTTTAATAACATATAAAAATTTGAAATTATTTGAATAGTTAGTTTTTAAAAAGAAATTCACTAAAACACACCTATGGTGTTTTATACCTATGTATATGTTTTCTCAAAAACTGGTTAACTAATTGGCATGAAGTATTATAAGTAAAAATGTTCTATGCCCTGAAAACCTTTTCCAAACTCTAACCCTAACCCTAATACTAACCCTAATGTGAAAAAATTTGTATTAAAATTTTATATACAAACATAAAAATTTAAAAAAATATAAAATATATATATAATAGGTGTAAAACACCATAAGGTGTGTTTTGTAATATATTGTTTAAAAAAATTGAATTATACAATTATTTAATTTTTTTATTAAAATATATAGTATAATATTTGATAATAAACAACTTTGATTCACTAGTCCGTTTTACAGCGCTTTTCAAATTACTGTGTTCATCAAATGATTGAAAATTTTGGCACTTTTTCATAAATAAATCTAATTAACATGTCTAGAAATAAAAATTTCTCAAGATTCCCCATTATATTTAGATTCTGCAGTACTGCCTCTAGTAGTACATTAGATCTGGTAGCTGGTTTGTCGAAATGATATCAAAATTCTCACTAACAAAAAGAAAATCCCGGAAATTTTGATATCACTTTGTCTCAATAACTACCAGATCTAGTGTACTACTAGAAGTGATGCTGGAGAATCGAAATATAACGGGGAATCTTGAGAATTTTTTGTTTCTGACATTTTAATTAGATTTATTCATGAGAAAGTGCCAAAATTTGCCAATATTTTCGGATTTCCGTGTGATGGGCGATCATTTGATGAACACAGTAATTTGAAAAGCACTGTAACGGTAAATGACCAAAATGATCAACTTAATGAAACGATTCTAACAAGCTCAAAATCAATAAAATCAAATCACAGAATCTTGTGATAATTAGGTTTTGTGTTATTATAATATTTTAAATTTAATTTAACCAAATTTAAATACAAAAATAGCATAACGATAAACCCTTAATAATCATAAGATCCTGATAACGATGTTAGGCTCGTTGGAATTGTCTCATTAAGCTGGTCATTTTGGTGATAAAATCATTTAAAACGGACCAGTGAGTTAAGTCATTTATTATTAAATGTTATATTATTTTTAATAGTAATTCTAAATACAGATTTCCGATTAATACCAAGCTTATTAACATATATTTTGCAATAAATACTTGACAAAAATATTTTATAAATCTAATTAAATTAATTTAAATATTTTTAAAGGGCTTTTTTATACTGTATTTACTTTTTTAGTAATTATACAAAAAATAAATTTTGTGGGCAAATTTGCCTGCAAAACGCACGAAGAGGTAATATCAGAACGAATTTTTTAATACCTTTTATATTTAGCCAACCCGAATTACCATATTAGGTAACGCCCAAGTTAAAATTAATTTAAAAAATCTATTTATTTTTTCATGACAAAGCATTTGAAAAAAAAACTTTTTTAAAAAAATAAGAATACAATAAAAGAAAAAAAAAATTAAGCATAGATGTAAGAACGCGCTCAGCTACTAGTAAAATAACGTTTAAATTGAGTCGCTATGTAAACTTATGCCAAATTGATACGCTAAAAGTTATTGGCGATGACAGTATATTGGTAAAAAAAAAAAAAAAAATTTATATTTTAAATCAAAATTTTCGAATGAAACGTCTCATCCAAAAGGAGGCCACTCTAAAGTTAATGAAATAACGTAATACTTATTTTTCATATAAATAATGGAGTATGTATTCTGATTTCATGCTACAATATCTTTAAAATCATCATCCTCCCAGCCTTCATCATTATAAACCTTCCACCACCAATTGTTTAAAATCCAAGCATATCCCCTTTCATCCACATTCATTGCCCTCATCTTAACAATATCTTCTTTCCATGGTTTATCGCTGATTATGTAATGAACATTCTTAACACATTTATCTGACCAAATTGACGAATGATACTTGCGCAATGTCTTTAATGCGTTATAAATGTAGGGAAGCCCTACCCATTTACCCTTGAAAACTTCATTAAGAAGATCCTGGTCTATAAATGTTATTTTCTCGGGGTTCTCATGATTTTTTATATGATTAAATATTTCATTAAATTTCGTTTTAGAAGGGCGTAATATCATCATTCCAGAGTTAAAATAACTTTCAGAATTAGTGATTGGTGCCATATTAGTAGACCCCGGATAAATTGGTCCTTTCGTGTAAGCACAACTTTCTGGAGTCCTATAACATGGTTAAATATTTTTAATTCAATCATAAGCATATTATTAAATCTATAGAAAAAAAAGAAGCTCTTATATACGTACCAACTTTTAGGATACGAGGGATTTTTAAGTGGATTGCATGTACATGCATGACATGCTGCAATTGTATTTTCATCCAAATCTAACTCTAGAAGTTCATCCATGTTACGTATAACACACATATCTGCATCTAAAAATCCGACGAGCTCATAATCTTCGATTTCCCAGACACGAATTTTAGTCGACACTTCCTTAAAACGATCCCAAATATATTGGTTTGACTTCCAATGGACACGATTAATCTCTTTTATGTCAATAAAACGAAAATAATAGTAAGAACCAAGTCTTATAAGCTCATCATAATCTTTACGGCTTAAATCAGTTCCTTCATTTTCACTATTTGGTACTAAAACAAGAAGGTTGTAATATAAATCATATGACTGTTTAGACATAGATATAATATAAGCTCATTTTTTAGATTCCT